AGCAACCCTTTCTTTGTTGGAGCGATTCCCATCCTACCCTACACTCAGTAATTTTGTGAGTTTCTCCAATAATTAGATTTTGTTCCCTGTCCTCCATGTGACCAAAACTAGACTAACAAGTTCTTATTCTTTAAACCTGTGTAAAGACATAGAGATTCCATCCAAGTTGTTACAAAACAAAAAAGAAAAAAAAAAAAAAAAAAGACATAGAGAGACAGGAGGTGGTTGGGGCCGAGTAATTTGATGGTAATGATGTTATGAGCTGGTTGGGTTTTTACCCTTTCTGAGATGCTACCTGTTCAGATTTTCCTTCATTTTCAAGAGCTCTAATAAAGCCTCTTTTTTTTTTTGTTCCAATAATGTCTCTTTTTCTTAAATCACTTGTAAAAAGTACTGTGGTAAAATCTCTTGAGGGAACTTGAGGAATATGGCCTGGAATAAAGAGCTTAGAATTCTGAGTTAGCAGCGATGGAAAAACCAAAACAGGATCCAAATAGAGACAGATAAAAGGGTCATCTAGAAACACAGAGGCCCTACTGTGCAGAAAATCATTCCTTTCATTTGTAATTGCTTTTTTGTGGTAGTATTCCTATCATTACAACCTACTGTAGAACATAGGATGTAGGGAGTAAGGAGATGGCTCTTCCAAAATAAGTATATAGGCCGGGCGCTGTGGCTCACGCCTGTAATCCTAGCTCTTGGGAGGCCGAGGCGGGTGGATTGCTCAAGGTCAGGAGTTCAAAACCAGCCTGAGCAAGAGCGAGACCCCGTCTCTACTATAAATAGAAAGAAATTAATTGGCCAACTGATATATATATAAAAAAAAATTAGCCGGGCATGGTGGTGCATGCCTGTAGTCCCAGCTACTCGGGAGGCTGAGGCAGGAGGATCGCTTGAGCCCAGGAGTCTGAGGTTGCTGTGAGCTAGGCTGACGCCACGGCACTCACTCTAGCCTGGAAAACAAAGCGAGACTCTGTCTCAAAAAAAAAACAAAACAAAACAAAATAAGTATATAAGCTTTTTAGAATCATTTTGCATTTTAATTAGGTGACCTAATTAAAAATAGTTTTTAAGGCAAGTTTCAATGTATTTATTTAAAAAACACCTTGTGAGAATTTTTAAGTTAAGGATTGCCAGAGGTCAAAATTTGTGAGTGTTAATGTACTGTAGGCATTCTCCATAATTTTACAATTAAATGACTAACTTATCAAAAATAGAATCTGACCCCAGGACTTATTGTATTCAGAATTTGTTGTCTGCCATTCCCCGTAAATAATTTTTTATGACTTTGTAGACTTTTGCAGCTCATGCATCCTTTTGCTGTTGATAATTTTTCACATATTGTGAATTTGTAATTTATCTTATGATTGACACTAAATTATAGAACAATAATAAAAAATATGTTCACGGAATGAATAGCAAAGTAGAAAGTTGCTAACAAGAGATGGTTTTAATGAATAACTCTTCCAATTTCACTTTGAAGAAGATTAAATTTCAGAAGAAGGAATTTATATTAGACACTTAACAAAATTCTTTGACTCCTAGAATTGTATTTTTGATATTCAAGAAAAATCGAGTATCTTTTGTGATGCTGTGTGGGAGTAGAACACATTCACATTTACTCACAGCATTGGGATAGTGCTACCTCATAGTGTTATCATAAATATAATCCAAGTTACTCCAAATAAAGCATTTATACAAATTCACTTAAGCTTTTATTCTCTACTGTGAGCGATCCAGCACTTTGACCAATATTCTAAGAGATTCCCAGTGAACTTTAAATAGTTTTAAAATTATTTTCCTGGAAGTCATCAGAGGTGTTTCAGGGGTTCTGCAAACATTTACTTTGAATATCGTTTAAAATTAAGTTTTATTTATCACACACAAATGTGCACATACTGCTATGGGTCTTACAACAAAAGTAACAGTTCTGTTCTCCATGCTCCCTAACCGCAGCCCTCTCCCAACCACTTTCAACTGTTTAGTTTGTTTCTTCTGTTATTTCTACCACATTTCTATATACTACTATTTCTTCATTTTTAAATTTTTGACTTTCTTTCTGTTAACTTGCCACTGTGGAAGATGAAGATACAGCTCTCTCATCTCTCTCTCCTACCACTGCCTCCCCATCCACAGACATACAATCATCACCTCTCCTTCTACGCTTCCCATACACCCATATCATAATTTTTGGTTAAATGAATAGTAATTGTATACACAGTTGTAACTACATAAATACTGTTCATAGCTAAACCATGTTGACACTTCCTTTCACGTACAATGTTTGTTCTTCATGAAGTTAACAATTGCTTCATTTTAAAATTTGCTTTGTTTTCTGCGTTCCTTTTATTAATTCATCCCCCAAATTTCACATGCAGCTCTGAAATTCTTCTCAACATCATCAAAATGGATAATTTGTCAGTTTTATGTTTTTCCTGAAGACAGCCCTCTCAGAGCCAATGTTGGTCCCCAGTTGGGATTGACACATCTATGGGCCTTTTGGGACTTCACCATCATCTGGGAATCTCTCTGCCTCTACCCGGTGTGGATTCTTCTGTGTCCTACTTTCCCTGTCTTCTTCTTTCTTGGTTTATCCCCTTAATTTGGTAGAGTATGTTCTTCAGTAGCTACCTGAGAAATGATGAATTGAAGATAAATTGTTGAGACTTTGTATGTCATAAATTATCTTTTCTACCCTCATCTTTACATCATAGAGGGATTGAGTATAGCATTATAGGTAGAAAATAATTTTCTCTCAATTATTCGAAGAAATGTCTCTCATGCCTGTCTTGTCTTTTCACTTCAGTACACACTACTTCTCTCCACAATGTATATGCTGAATGAAAAATGGACTTAGATTTAGTCACATGCTTTCATGGAGCTCAGAGTCTAGGGTGGGTAAAATTTAGAAAGAAAGAAGATTTGTATGTTTACCATATGTCTGGCAATGATTTACTTTTTCCATGATATTTAATTTTACAGTAGAGCAACAGAGGCTTAGAAAACTTAGTAATTTCCCCAAGATCACCCAGATACAGATTTAAATTTATGTATAGTTGACACTAAAGCCCTTGTTTTTCTCATTCCCTAAGGCTGCTGTGCAACTATACCAGTAATATCTTATTTTACTCCATGAAGCAGTTTGGTATAGGAGTGCTTAGGAGTGTGAAACCTTGTTTCATATCTGCTTCTTTGTAGCTGAATCATGAGTTAATGTGTGTAAAATTCTTAGAGAAATATGGTAGGTGCTGTATAATGTTAGCTGTTGTAATTATTAAAATTGATTTGGCAAGTCGCTTCTTTTGGGTCCTGCTGTCTCTCTCTTCCACTCTATTTTCCTAGTAAACTTCCCATTATTAAAGTCATTAGCTCCAGTTCCACTTTTCCAGTTAAGCCATTCCAACTAGACAAAGCCTTACCCCTTCCAAAACTATGTAAGTTTCCACCGCCCTCTTACATTGTAAGCTTACAGGACTCAGCACTTTTCTTTCATATCACAATTAGTACCTATGTGTTTTTGAATTTGTTTCAAATCTATTTTCCCCACTGAAGTCTAAGCTCCATGCTGTTTTTGCCACTTTTATACCCATGGAACCTTAGCAAATACTTGGCATATAGGTACTATATAAAGTTATTGTTGAAATATTAGTTGAATAAATGAATATTGAGCACAGGAAAATCTAAATATGTCTTTCTCCTTACTGCAATGCTATACATTATTAGGAAGTTGATAACAAACAATAACTGCTACCATTTTTTCAGTGTTTTTTATGTATCTAAATGCAGGGAAAAACTGTTCTTCCTTTATGCCTGCTTCAGAGAATGCTGTAGGTTGCGGGTCATTAGTGGGCTGTGAAATCATTTTAGAGAGTTGTGACCAGCTTTAAAAAATGATATAAAATAGAAGAGAAAATATCAGAGTGGATCACATATGGTAAGGGATAAGTATTATTTCATGAAACATTAGTTTGAGATTATATCACTTAGAATATATGTATGATTATGTGAGGAGGATCACATTATAAAGAATATTTTTTATTGTGAGTATGGTCAAAAGTCTTGCCAAGTCAGTCACTCTAGGGCAGCGATTGGCAAACCTTTTCTGTAAAGAGCTAGATAGTAAATATTTTCCATTTTGTGGGCCATATGGTCTTTGTCACAAGCACTCAACTCTGCTTTTGTAGCATGAAAGCAGCCATAGACAATAAGTAAATGAATGGATATGGTTGTTTTCCAATACAACTTTACAAGAACATAAGGCTGAGTAGATTTCATCCAAAGGCCATAGTTTGCTCTAGGGAAACAGAGATTTTAGCTGTGTACAATAAGAAGCTTCTATCTCTCTCCTTACCTTATTAGTTGGAGGAGATAATGTGATTAGTTTTGGATGATCTGGTATTTCTGATTAACCTGATGGTTCTTGCTTAGTGGATGGGAGAATAAGGAAATGGGCCACTTCCTGAGTGAAGGTGGTTCCGATTCTTATTCTTTTCATTTTTAGTACATTCTATAGGTTGGAGAAATTAAAAATATCAGATCAGATTCAAGGAATTGGGAAAGAGACCCAACCTCTTGATGAAAGGAACTGAAATGAATGTGTGGCCATATTTAATCTACCATAGTGCAATCTCTGGCCACAGTTACAGTTGACCCATGAACAACATGGGTTTGAACTATGGGTCCACTCATATGTGGATTTTCTTCTGCTTCATCCACCCCTGAGACAGCAAGGCCAATTCCTCTTCTTCCTCCTCCACCTTAGCCTACTCAACATGAAGATGATGAGGATGAAGACCTTTATGATGATCTACTTCCACTTAATGATTTCTTAAATCCTGCTTCAAGAATTTTTTTTTTTTGCTGGAGAGGCTTGGGAAAGTAAAAAATTTGGTATGTAAACTCAGTAAATGCTAGGCCCACTAAATTTCCTGTATATTCTGTTTTCAAACTAAGAGACTTCTTTATTTAATCTCCCTTGTCTTATGCCTTATTGTACATAGCTAAAGGAAGACAATTGACACCTTCAACATTCTGCCTGACAACTCATTAGCTGGATCCAACAGTTCTTGAGGTATATTATCTAGCTTCCAAGTTACTTTAGTTTTACCAGTTATTCCCCAACTATATATACCATGAGTTCCCATTTTTCCAGATTCCAATAACAATCATCACTGCCTCTTAGGCACACTAATGGTTTGTTCACCATACCTCCAGTCACCTTTGCTGCTCTTCCAGCAACCGCTCACTACATAGTCCCAAATCCAGTGGCACATATTTTATGTTTCTGTTAAGTCAGGACCCCACTTTTAGGTACAAATTTCTTTATCAATTATTATTTTGCTATGTAACAAAGCACCCCAAAACTTGCTAGCTTAAAACAACAACCCATTTACTTACTCATGATTGTGCCATTTGGTTGGGTTCATCTGGGTGGTTCTTTTGCTGGTCTTTGGTGAAGTTACATAGGTAGCTGCAGTAATCTGGCTGCTCTACTGGGAGTATGTCTAATTTAGGAGTTGGGAACCTGCACCCTCAAGGCTACATGTGGCGCTCCGGATCCTCAAGTGGGGCTCCTTGACTGAATCCAAACTTCACAGAACAAATCCTTTTATTTAAAAGGATTTGTTCTGTAAAGTTTGGATTCAGTCAAAACAACCAGACTGCAGTTGTTGGCTGGGGCTATTGGATGGGAAATTTTCCTTATCTATTAGGTTGTCTCTTTCAGGATAATCTATGTTTTTTTTTTTGGTATAAAACAGAGCTTCAAAAGGGTAAAAACAGAGTTCTAAAGGTTGAGTCCAACATTTAGAAATCACATAGCCTTACTTTGACATAGTCTATTGATCAAAGCAAGTCATAAGACCAGCCCTGATTGGGAAATAGACTCTACCTCTTGATGAGAGAAACTTAAAAGAATTCGTGGCCAGATTTAATCTTTACGTTTAAAAATATTTAGTGCAAACTCTTCTTTGGTTAGCTCTCATTTGATGTCTTCTCCAGGCAATTCACATACATCTATTCCTTCATTCACTTCTTTACTCACTTATTCAATGTAAATTTAACAAATATTTATGGGGTACCTAATGTATATCAAACATTGTGACAAGCTTTGGAGGTTAAAAGATCTATACTTTGGAAATGGATACAATTATAAAGCTCTTTTAAAATTGTAAAATTCAGAGAGCTTTATATAGTTTTTGCCTTCTTGAGTTTAAAAAGTTTTATCATTGTGAAAAGCTTATAATTTATGATTCTGTTGAGTTACCCAGTCACAAACAAAACCTATAAAAGCTGAGTGAAATGTCAAGATGAACAATGTCTTTCTGTGAATGAATTCTTCTAACTTCATTTTCAGAATAGCTTGGTTTCAGACCATATAAATTATTAATAATAAAAAGAAAATAAGATTTGTTTTTCTTAAAAAAAGATAGAGCTTTTTGTTTGTTTGCTTTGTTCTAAGGGGTGAACTTTTTTCTTTTTCATCCTTTTCTTAATGTTTAAGAAAGGCCCTGTGAAAATCCAGGCACCTGCATGTGCTATAAGCCAACACTGACGGGCCATGAATGGAGGTTTTATGTTTCTAGAGTGGGAATTTCCACCAATCAAGAGGACACCAGGCTCATCTCAAACATAATTTCCTTCAAAGGATTCCCTGGTCTTGTCCCCCACGTTCCCAGCAGTTAGTTCCTCTCCCATTGTGCATTATACTAACTGGCATACAACTCTGATATGGTATGTATGGCATGTTGTGAACTATTTGTTTGGCATATTTAACTTCCTTCAACTATGATCTTCTCAAGAGCAGGGATTTATATTTGCATTCTCTGGATCTAACCCAGTGCCTCATATGGTGCGCATCTAATACCTTTGTTAAATACATGAATAAATGATATAGCTTGGCATACATGAACCATGATAAAGTTAGAAATTATTTCAGTGGCTTTATCAATTGCTGGAATGTCAGACCTACTTGTTAAAGCTGTGAAAATTCAGAGTTAGAAAAGGCTTTTGAGTTAATAAGATCAATATTTTTCTTTTTTAAGCTGAGTAAACAGAATCAGAGGGTATAAGAGACTGCCTAAGGAGACACAGCTAGTTAATTGTAACATAAGCACAAAATCAGAATATTTGATCCTCAGTTCAGTGTTTTTTCACTATACTAATATGTTCTCTCATCCTGGGATTTCTGAATTTTAGGTCCCTCATTTTTAACTGGGCAGGATCTTTTCCAGAGCTGCCTAGACTAACTATAGCTGACTCACTTAGAAGAACATGAATATGGTCTTGTCGCACAGATTGTACCTACTTGATTAGTTAGCTCTGAAATCACCATCTCTGCCCCTAGACAATCTGTTAAGTTTTTAGGGACAGAGCCCTAGTATTTCAGTGTGATATATCTCTCTCATTCTGAGCCTACTGTAGTCTTGGTATAAAGCTAAACAAATATATGTTGCCAATTTTATATTTCTGAAGTATAACTAGATTCTAAAAAGCTAGGAGTAAAAGTGTGGAAGTGAGAAGGAACAGGCCTTATACAGGTGATTGTCCAGATTTGGAATGACAGAAAATAAGATTAGGAAGGTGCTTTGGACTGAATGTTTGTGTCCCCTCCAGTTCATAAATTGAAGTCCTAACCCTCAATGTGATGGTATTAGGAGGTGGGGCCTTTGAGAGGTAATTAGGTTTAGATGAAGTCATGAGAGGGGAGCCTCCACAATGGAATTAGTACTCTCGTAAGAAGAGGAAAAGACCAGAACACTGTCTCTCTCTTACTGTCATAAGAGGATACAGTGAGAAGGCTGCCATCTGCCAGCCTGGAAGAGGGCCCTTGCCAAGAACCAAATCTGTTAGAACCTTAATCTTGGATTTCCTAGCCCCAGAACTATGAGAAATAAATGTTTGTGGTTAAAGCCACCCTGTCGATGGTATTTTGTTATAGCAGCCTGAGCTAAGACACATGGTATTTAGCCAGATTATGAAAGGCATTAAATGAGGGTAAAATTGTTAGAACATTGGACTGTTTTTGCCTATTGTAATTGGTCATAGACTGTTGGGCATTTTGTGTTGGGTTAAAGAGAATTTAATTTTTTTTTTACAAGGGATTGGTATGAGCAAAGTAATTCATTACTAAGACTAATTTGTCAGTGTTTAAAGAGAAACAGATAGTAAGATACCAATACACACACACACACACACACGATTTTATTGTAATAGTCTGAGTGTGAGGTCATGAAGATATAGTCTAAGATAGTAGTAAAAATGTAGGGTAAGGCACAAATCTCAAGATAATTTAATTATTTTGCAGTTGCCCTACTGTTTTTTAGAAATAATTTATCTTTTAAGTCAATTTTTGCTTTGAAATACTAATTTCTGAATCTATGTAGGAAACTACATCTATTCCAAAGTAGTAGAGGAAAAACAGGTACTGAAAAACATACAGGCAAAGTTGATTTAGACTTATTTTTATCATTGCTGAAATTTGTTCATCATTTCTCGAATACTGGGCATACTGGGAGATTTTCTTAGTGTTTTTTTTTTCACTGATGTGTCCAAAAAAGAAGAAAGGAAAAGAAGAATGAGAAAAGCAAAGGGCATGTATATGTTTGAGGAGTGGGGAATGGGCTTGGGGCTACAGAAGCTCATGGAGGAGGACCAAAAATTATGGATATAGGTTAGATATTTTTTCATATTCACTTTTTCCTTTTAATGTTTCCCTTTTAGAGCTCAAGAGTCCTAGAGAGAGGAAGGGCTTTCTTTAGATTATAGTGAGCATTCTTGTATCCTGAATTACTTGTCTCAGCACTCCAGGAAGTAGAATGTGTGGTTTTTTTTGTGATCATATATCTATCTATAGGTTTTCAATCCTGAATAAACCACTCCCTGGAGAATGTGGAAGGAAAGCCTTACCTCCTCTGCTCTTAAATCTTCCATTTTTTCTATTTTCTCTGACAAGCCTGGAGCTGCCCTCCAACTGCCCTGTGATTTGAGCTACCTCTTTTTGCTCCCCGAGTGCATCATTCATGAAAATGATACATGAATGATATATTTAAGACTTTTCATTTATTTAGAAAATGAGAATGACTGGTTTATAAGCAGATTCTTCACTTGAGAAATGAATTAACCATTAGATGACTATAAGCATAAAGTCTCACAGTGTGTTTAAAGTATCATATTAATACTTTTATTTATACTCTAGGTTATCCAAAGATGACATAGAATATATAAGGGTTTGCAACTGATTCCCTCAGTGGCATGTCACCAGCATCTTCATAGCTCACCACATTCAGCTTTGCTGGTCCAAAAATGGAATGCGATTTGTTTACCTTGACGCGATAAGGCTCACACTGACCCAGCTTACAAGAGGTTGATTTCTCCACTATTCAGTGAAACTGCTCATATTGATGTCAGCCATTGGCCCCTTTTTGCCAAATCTAGTGGCTCATTTCTTCCTCTTATGTCATTCACATTCTCAGCAATATTTGACTTAGCAATGTTTGCTCTCTTCTTAAAATTTACTATACTTGGCTTCTAGGACACTACAGTCCTCTAGTTTTCTTCAGACATCACTGGCTTTTTTTTTTTTTTTTTTTTTTTTTTTTGGTCTCCTTTGCTTGCATGCATTCTCTGCTTGATCTGTCTGTCTTAGGGTGTGCAGGGTTCAGTCCTCAGCCCACTTTCCAAGTCTATTTATGCTCTGCTCAGGCAATCTAATCCAGTCCCATCACTTTAAGTACTACATGTAAGTTGATGATTCCCAACTTTTTAAAATCTACATTCCTGCCCTCTCCATGAGTGACAGACTTGTATGTACATCTAACTGCCTGCTTGTTACCTCAAATATGATGTCAGATGAACATCTCAAATTTAACAAGTCAGAAACTGAACACTTGATTCTCAGCATCCACCACCAGCTGATTCTTTCCATCCTCTTCCCCATCTCAATGAATTCTTGGTTCCTTTCTCTCCTTCGTCCCCCAAGTCTAGTCCATCAGCAAGTCCTGTCAGCTCCACCTTCAAAATATATCCTAAATTCAAGCAATTCTCCTCTGTTCTCAGCTCCTCAGCTACCACCTAAATCTGAGGATGTCTTGTTAAGTACATTTACATTTATGATTGATGCCTTTTTTAATGTTCTTTGCCCCCCATGTTATGTCCTTCTTTCCTCATTTTATATTTATGTATAGTCATACTATGCATATTTAGGCATATGTATAATGTACACATGTATTATATACATGCATGCATATATATACACATAAATACATACACATATATATGTATATGTAAATACATACATGTATATAAGTTTTTTGCCTGAATTCTATTTGTCACTAAAGGGAAAAAAAGTGTTTTGGTAGGTACTCATAGCACTTCTGACACTAAATGTGTGGGTTTTCCACACATCACATTTTCCAGTTCTCTGCAGACACCAACTAGATATCCTGTAATTTAACTCAGTTCTGACCCTGACTACACAGAATTAGTGCAGACCTCACTGGTTAAGGGCTCAGTCCCACAGGGCCACTCCCACTTTAGATGCCAGTCACAAGTGGCGGGTCTTCAGGTTATCCAACTCTGTCTGACTTGACAGCAAATCAGAGGTTTCCACGACCCCTTTATCTATTTAGGACACAGTATTCAGTTTCCTCATAGAAGTCTCCTGTGGATTTTGTGATTGCTGCTAATACCTGGAATCTGTGATTTGGGGTGAGAAAGCCAGCAGCCCATGCTAATTTCCTATATGGAAAAGTGTAATTTAAATTTGACGGGGTCAAAACCCATTTACTGTTATACAAATCTTGAAAAAATCAAAGTCAATCTTTTTTCTTTTTTTTTAAATGAGTTTTTTTTTTTTTAATGTTTCTGTCTTTGACCTAGGGAATAATTCCTATGGGATGCAAAAACCCAGTGAAGCTTAAGATTTAGAAAAAAATTGCTTACCAGCCTGTGAAACACTCCAACCTCTCTCTTTCATGGCTTTTATAAGGACAAACGTAGGTCTTTAAAAAAATCATTATAACTTTCTTTATATAATAGATAGAAAACTAGATTTAATATCATATACTGTGACTTTCTAGCTGTTTAAATTTGGACAGATTCCTTAAACTTCTAGAATAAAAATACCTTATCTAAAATTGAAACAGTTGGAGTTTATGACCCATGAGGTCCCTTTCTGCTCTATAATTTTAAACTATAATTGTGTGGAGTTTTCAATAATTTATTTTAGAGGAATTTTCTAAAAAGTTTTACTGTGTGAAACTTTTGTCTATCATTGATGAAGAGTCATAAAATTCTGCAGATAAATAGTACGAGGTGCTAATAAAAGCAAACAGCTAGCCTGCGGATTAGCTGTTGGCATACAAAGTCAAGTAATCTGTTACAAATTTATTGCTAATCTGGCAGGCTAGTAGTTTTAGTGACTAGTTTTCAAATTTATGTGTATATAGGAATCATAGGAAGTTTGAAAAAATGTATTGCTGCCTGAGCCACATTTTGAATAATTAGAATCTCTAGGTGTGGGGACTAGGCCAAGATATTTTTTAAAAGCTCCCCCGGGTTTTCTAATTTGCAAGGAAGGTTGACAGTAATTAAAGGCTAATTGGCTAAAAATAATTGAAGTGGCAAAAGTGAAAGAGGTTCAGCTCAAACAAGGTCAAAGTATGCACAGCAATTTTGAAGCAAATATGAAACAAATTTGATAGCAACTTGACTGAATTCTGGAAATCCATAATTTGAAAATAATTTTTGAAAAGAAAATTAAAGCCCCTTTTCTAGTTCAAGTTTTGACATATTTTAAAGAAGACATTGGATAAAATCTACATAATGATTTTTGTTTTTCTTCAGACTTGTTTGGGAATCAAAGGAAACATTCTGTTAAGTCTGAGGCATTTGATCTCTGAAATGATTTTATTTCTTTTAGTAAATACAGGTAAATGTACTCAAGCAAAGTTTCAGAAGGCAAGATGATTATTGGACTAATGTACATATAAGAGGACCTCGTTATCTAAGGATTGCTAATGATTGATAATAGGTATATTAGTTTCCTAGGGCTACTCTGACAGGTTACTGCAAACATGGTGGCGTAAAACAACAGAAATTTATCCTCTCACAGCTCTGGAGGGCGGATGTCAGCAGGGCTGTCCTCCCTCTGAAGCCTCTAGGAGAGATCTGTCCCTGCCTCTTCTGGTTTCTGGTGGCTCCTGGCATTCCTTGGTTTGTGGCAACATAACTTCAGTTTCTGCCTCTGTCTTTACATGGCAGCCACCTCTGGGTGTCCTTTTCTGTCTTTTATAAAAATGTTTTTATTGGATTTAGGGACCACCCTAATCCAATGTAAACTCATCCCTGTCCTTCTCTGAATTATGTCTTCAAAGATCTTGTTTCCAAATAAGGTCACATTCGGAGGTTCTGGGTGGATGTGAATTTTGAGGGGCAGTATTCAGCCTGCTATACCAGCAAACCCCATCTATGGTGGGTGTAGTAAATAGGGGGACCAAATTTTTATGACAAATAGTATATATATATATATATATATATATATATGTATGGGGGAAGGGGAAATTTAAGGAGAATTTCCTTGAAAAATGAAATGAAAAAATTTACATGATATTGCCTATAATTGCACATGTGCTAATTCTTAGTATTTATGTGTGTGTATATATATATATATATATGGAAAGAGAGAGAGAGAGAGAAAGAGAGAGAGAGAGAGAGAAAGAGAGAGAGAGAGAGTGCTTTATGTTTTGGTTCTTCAGAAGAATCACAAGGAGGCTCATATTTGCAGAAACATTGGTGGACTTCATTTATTTTCCAAAAGGCCTCTATTAATCTTTTTTGTATTCAAACCACTTCTAGTGCATTTCCTAATAACCTGTGTCGTGGCAAAATTTTCAGTGTCAGTTTGTAACTAATTTGCAATGTATTACCAGACGTTTAAAACTAGTCAATCCAATCTACCATGCTATCATTGTGTCAGACAGATGCTAGACGTCATGACACAGGGATGAGTAATAGACTGTTATCAAGTAGCCCACCATCAGCTGACAAGATGGGCACTTGAATAAGTTAGAACAGTGTAATGTGATTCATGTTTGTGAGAAATGTTCAGGCTGGTAACATACAGGAGGAGTAATTAATGATTTAAGGAAAGTGGTGTCAGAGAAGGCTTCCCTGAGGAAATGATATATGAACTAATCTTGAAGATTGAGTAGGAATTTACCATTAAAAATTTTTTAAATTATAGATGTAACATTTTCACTCTAGGAAACGCTCTTTCAACCAAGGAATAAGGGCAACATCAGGAAAAGGTCACTCTACCTTTGTAAATAAAAAACAAAGCAAAAAAAAGAGAAAAGGTCACTCTAAGATGTGATTGAAATGTGTATGTGTGGCAAAGGAGACTTACTGATAAGGTGTTTATGACCTAATTAACTTTTTATGCTTTAATATTCTGCCACGATTAGAATAAGAAAACAAATAGCTAAGTACTAATATGATATAAAACTTAGGAGCTATAATACTTCAGAGAAAGGAAATATTAGTGTGGTATGGAATATTCTGAAAGTCTCTCTAAGACATGAAACTTGAAACTCAGTTGTGAAGATGAGGAGTAGGGTAGACAAAGTATATTTATCACAATAGTGCCACGTGTGCCCTGGAAGGAAAAATAGAATCAAATGTCACGGAACCTGTATTACTCAGGGTTCTCCGGAGAAACAGGCCCAGAGGACACATGTACACCCTCCCCCACAACACACCCATGCATATAAGATGAAGCACCAGGAAAGTCCATGGGGTAATTTGGTCTGAGTCTGAAGGCCAGAGAATCAGAAACTCTAATGTCTTGAGGCAGAAGAAGATGGAAGTCTCAGATCAAGAAGAGGGTGTGAATTTGTCCTTCCTCCACCTTTTTGTTCTATTTGGGCCCTCAACAGATTGGATACTTGCCCACATTGGTGAGAGGGATTTTTCTTTACCCAGTTGGTTCAGATGCAAATCTCTTCCAGACTCAACCTCACATACTCAGAAATAATGTTTTACCTTATTCCAGTCAAGGTGACAGATAACTACCCATCACAGAGCCCAAATAGGAAAAGGACTGAAAAAAGACTAACCACTAGGAGACTGCTGGTGATATTTCAAGACCAGGTTTGGGTTGAGGGAGTGGCTGCTCGGGATAAGCAGCATGCACTGAGTTAGGGAATGAATGGGGAGTATAGTGAGAGAGATACCCCGTGTCCCGCATTCAGATGCCTTGGCTTGTTTATTAGAGAGCAGTGGTTTTAAGTGATAGATTAAGGAATGGCTGAACAATGAAAGGAAAACAGATTTTTTTCTCACCCAGATTTTTAAAATTTGAGAGGAAATCTCATGTCTGAGGCTCAAGATGCTTTTCCACAGCTGATGGAGTTTGGCAAAGGGTTTGAGCCACTTGGAGGTACTGGTATATCTACATCAGTGAATTTCAAGGCTTTTGACTGTGGCCCTCAGTAATAAATAAATTCTATATTGTGATCAATACACACACATATGCACAAATACATATAACTGAAACAGAAGTTTCAAAAAACAATGCCAACTCTTCAACTACAGCGGAACACTGATATTTTCTCTTCAATTTCATTTTGTATAATTGATAATCATGACTTCTGTTATGAAGTCAGCTTTGGCCTCTTTCAATTTGAGTTTTGGTTGCCAAAAATTGGTTTTTGACTGTTTAAAGTAGTATATATTTTTAAAATATTTTAGATATTTCTAAAAACTTTTCTTAACTGTCTATTTAACTTACAACTTGTGTTTTAAATTTTTTTTAAAAAAATTATTGCTAAGTCCAATAATTTTTATGTAAAATAAAAATAACCATCTTTTAGAGGTCTTTTGATATATGGCTATTAACCATCACATGGTTAATCCAGCTGAATAGATTAAACTCGCTCAAACAATTTTCTGCAATTTTCTCACCCGATAATTATAAAAATTTCAAAGATTATTCTTAATCACACATTAAAAATGGGCTGGTCCCATTGAATTTGGCCTGATTATTTAAATAGGTACAACGTTAAGTGTTAATAGCATATGCCTCCTTCAGTCTGCTTTGCAAATCTACTCATACCTCCTATATCTAAAAAATGAAACATTTATAAAGAAACAACATTCTAAACAAAGAACTACAATAAAATTTCCCACGTCAATTCATTTTGTTCTAAGTAATTCTTATTCTATTGGATCTTGAGTTAGGAATCTACTTTCATGAAGCCTTTTGCTTCATGGAAAAAAGTCTTGGAAATCCTGACTCAGTCCACTTGTAGTTCTGAGTTGTCTAAGCAGTGTCAGCTCAGAAACCCGCACCCAGGAGTCAACTGTTTGAAGTGTCAATAGTTTACCATTTAGAGCCCTTCCCCATGACGCTCTGAGACTTTCCTTCTCATCAAAGAAGACCTGTAGCTCTGCTCTTTGGGTTTTTTCCTCTTAAATATTCAGAAATGTAATATAGCCAACATGATGCACAGAAATTATTATGGTAAGATACAGAAGTCTAGAACATTTAAAGTATTAAAACTTCAATTTCCTTATTTTCTCAGAATTTTAGAAATATTTGATTTATATATAAATACTTATTTATCTCTACAAGCTAATCAAAACAGAGATCCTTTATATTTAATAATTTAATTTATTGATACCCTCTAGAGATACATTCACTCAATGAGGAGTAAAATTGTTTGACCTAAGTTAAAGTCTCATATCTTTCAATTTTAAACTCACAAATCTAAAATCAATTATACATTTTCCATTAGAATCACAAAGCTAATATGTTACATTCTCCAATGGGCCAATTGCTTTAAGCATTATCACAAAAACTTTATTCATTATCTCAAAAATATTAGCACTATGGTTTGATTTATTTCATTATTTCTTTGATCTAAAACCATTCTGGGATTTACAAGACAGTTCCAATTAAAGGAACAGTTCTGTTATCTCAAATAAGTTGAAGTTTCACCAACAATTCATGTCATGTTATTGTGACTATTTTAGGGCAGACATTTGAGGCTGGGACATAGAATCTGCTTTTGCAGTTGTACAGGTATTTCTTCCTCAGCAACAGGTATGTCATATTCTATGTAAATAGGGCCCTGAAAGTCCACAAACTATAGATGGGTCAGGTTTCACAGACTATTTCTCCTGGGCTAATGTTATAGCCTTATTCAATTCTTTCTTTTCATTTGAAAAGGGAGAAGTCTGCACACCTACCAAAGCTGCAGGTAACATCTTTTACATCTTGATGAGATTCTACATTTCTGGAACTATCATATGATATTTTAATGCATTAAATTATTTTATGATAATTTAATCTGCTCTAAAGATATTTTATTGACATACTATTGGATCTTAATTATCTCACATACTTTTGGCTGAGATAACTTTAAAGTCATCCAATGATATCTCAACCTTACATATTCTGACATCTTGGTGCTTATACAAACAAAAACAAGCACTAAAACCAAACCAGCTCAACCAACCAACTAAACAATAACAACAATAAAAAAAAACTGATTACAACCATTTATTCTTTTTTTTTTTTTTCAGAGAGAGTCTCACTCTCTTGCCCAGGCTAGAGTGAGTGCCATGGCGTCAGCCTAGCTCACAGCAACCTCAAACTCCTGTGCTCAAACAATCCTGCTGCCTCAGCCTCCCAAGTAGCTGGGACTACAGGCATGTGCCACCATGCCCGGCTAATTTTTTTTTATATATTAGTTGGCCAATCAATTTCTTTCTATTTATAGTAGAGACGGGGTCTCGCTCTTGCTCAGGCTGGTTTCAAACTCCCGACCTCGAGTGATCCGCCTGCCTTGGCCTCCCAGAGTGCTAGGATTACAGGCGTGAGCCACCGCGCCTGGCCAACCATTTATTCTTAAATGAACATATCCTTTGAGAGTCTCATGTCTCTCTCTCCAATCGGCTTTTTAGAATATCTACATGAGAAGACTTGTTGAACTAGCTCTGAAGAGGATACAATTTTCTGTGTGCCATTACAGAGAAGAATTTTATTGCTTCTATATACCACTAAAATTACCAATAGAGTCTGCTGCAAATGATACCCATTCCAAACATGACATAACTTTTAAACGAGAAGCCTCAGAATAAAAACACATTATGTACAACTGAAATCTATACTTTCTTCTGACATTCTTATTTTCTACATTACTCTAATTGGAAAAAAACCTTCTTTTCCACATAGTAGATCCATTTTCTTTGTGTTTCTCCAACATACTAAGTCATACTAAGTCTATTTGAGCTCCATGTCCACCTCTACTCGTTCTCTCAGGAGCACTCCCCTTACCCAGAATCATCCCTCTGTGGATTTCCTGAACTCAAGCTATCTGCTCAGGCTCAGCTCAAGTTCTTGAGTAAGACTTTTTGGATTATTCCATCCATCAGTGATCTCTTTCTCTCTCTCTCTGAAATCTTATGGCATGAATAATACATTTCAACCAAATTGGCACAGTATTAAAAATATTCATTTCCATTTCCCCAACTAGAGCCAAATTTCCTTAGGTAAAGAACCTCGCATATCATTGGTACTGATTAACAGCAGGGCTTAGTACAGTGCTATCTATGGACATAAAACTATAGAAGCTCCATTGGAGTCAAGCTCCTCGGGGGCAGGAAATGTATCTTTTGCCACTTATCCTCAGCACCTAGCAGGGGACTTGACGCTCATTAAGTGTTAGATGAATGAAACAAATGATTCTCAGTAAATACTTTCTAATTAAAAGGTTAAGGCCAGTGCTTAAGTAAAAATATAAAGTGATTTTTGAAATTGTTTGTTTTTCATGTTGTGGGTTGATAGGACTGGAAGAACAGTTATCTTAATAAGTAGTGATAACCTGGAATTAACATTACTAAAAGCTGTTGAACAAACATTAAATCACTATTTGCCTTTGTCAGCTAGTGTCTTTAGAAATACATCTGGCATGCTATGGCAACAAGATATTTTCTGTTTATTCTACCTACACCCTATAATTTCATTCTGGTCATAATCTGATACACTTGATTTATTCAAACTTGAATACTGTGCTCAGTATAGCTAAACCTGAACCAGACTTATCTCTCTACCTTATAGGCCACCACTCCGTAAGGATCTGTCTTGTGATTTTTAACTTTATATACATTACATTTACCTTTCTGCCTGATTAATTTTATTGTAGTAAGTAGGCAAAACTCAATCACCCTCTCAGGCAAGTGTTGAGTGTGATGCAAAAGGCATTATCACATTTGTTGAGCATGTAAACTATATATATAGACAGGCAATTATAGGTTCATAGTATATGTTTGACTAACAGGTGTAATTAAAAGTGTGACTTCCAGGAATCACTTATGAGTAAATCTCAAAACACCTACTAAAAAAAAGTCACCAATAAGAGCTAGGTATTAGTATACATTCAGTGAAAAATAGGAATACTTGTCTGTATTAGTTACATATTCCTGTATAACCAATTACCACAAACTTAGCAACTTAAAACAATACCCATTTATTATTCCACAGTTTCCAGGGTGAGGAGTCTGGGCAGGGCTTAGCTTAGCCCTCTCAGGCTCCTACGAGGCTATAATCCATATTTCAGCCAGGCCACCTTCCTTTCTGAAGTCTGGGATCTCCTACCAAGCTGATGTGGTTGATAGAATTCAGTTCCTTGCAGTTGTAGGACTAAGTTCCTTATTTCCTTGCTGGCTGTCAGCCTAGGCTGCTCTAGCTCCTAGAGGCACCAGCAGGCTCCTGCCTTGAGTGCCTCTTGCAGGCCCTCTACCAGCACGCAGCTCCCTTCTCCAAGGCTAGCTGGAGAAACTCCCTCTTTAGGAAGGGCCCAATCCCTCCTTTAAAGGCTTTCACCTTATTAAGTCAAGGCCACCAGAGTAACATTCCTTCCCCCTTCACTTTTGTCATACTATGCAACCTAATCATGACAGTGAAATCTCACAATGTTCACAGACACAGCCCAAGTTCAAGAGGGTTTAGGCAGGGCAGTAATGCCCCTGCTTGTAGGATCCTGCCTACCACAGTCTTTTTTTTTTTTTTTTAATAGAGTTAAGAGTAGCTTGGATTATTTTATTTACCCAGTTTTCTATTTATTTATCATTAATTGCCCCTAAAACTCTTCTCCAAATGTCTAACTTTTCTCTTGGTATGTTTAAACAGTAGGTTGTTAGACAAGATGTATAAAGCAAAAACCATAAAAAAGACTAACGGATTCAACTCCATTAAAATTTTAAAACTTTGTAAAAGACACCAAAAAAGGTGAAGACAACCCCCACGGTAAAAGTTATTTGTTACACAGACAACAAACAAAGGGTAAGTATCCAAAATATATAAAGAACTTGTACAAAGCAATTAGGAAAGCATTAAACTAACCAACAAGAAAATGTGCAGAACATATGAACAGGAAAAATTTAACAAACATCAGTTGCTTATAGGTTGAATGCTGCCTGATCAGAGAGGAGAGAGGGTAATGTTTTACTCCATACCCATTTCTCTGAGTTTGGCACCATGTGTATGTATCATCTTTTCAGAAACACATAAAAAAATTTACTGAACATAAACATAAATAAAAGAAAATAACTTATATTTCATATTTAGTCACATGTATTAAAGTACTTTATATTTTCTTATAGGATCATGTCATTCCTGAGACATGCAGAGACACTGTAGAACTTTTTCAATTCCTTCCTTCCTATCCTATCATAGGACAGGACATTGCTTCCAAATATAGCTGTATGTTGAACAAAGCTTAGCAGTTTTATGGAAGCAAGGATCATTTCTTTTTCTTTTCTTTTTTTCTGAGACAGAGTCTCACTCTGTTGCCCAGGCTAGAGTGCCATGGCATCAGCCTAGCTCACAGCAACCTCAAACTCCTGGGCTCAAGCAATCCTTCTGCCTCAGCCTCCCAAGTAGCTGGGACAACAGGCATGCACCACCATGCCCTGCTAATTTTTTCTATATATTTTAGTTGACCAATTAATTTATTTCTATTTTTAGTAGAGATGGGGTCTCACTCTTGCTCAGGCTGGTTTCAAACTCCTGACCTTGAGGGATCCTCCAGCCTCAGCCTCCCAGAGTGCCAGTATTACAGGCGTGAGCCACCACCCCCCAGCCCATTTTTCTTTAAAAGTAATTCAGACAAACTGTAGTTTTTCTTTAGTGGACTTTTTTTTGGTAAATGCATGAAGTGGCCTTGTCACTTGAAGGAAAACAACTGAGAATTTTTATTGCCAATGATAAAATTGGAACTTTCAAGAGAAAATCAGAATTAAAAAAAACCTTGTATTTCCCAATACCTAAAGATTTTTTAAAATAAGGTTAGTGGTGACACTAATAAATGTGGTTCTGATGTCATACTGTCAAATATGTCGCGCCTGGCCCTACCACAGTCTTGAAATCTTGTTTTTTCCTCCCCTTCTTCTGTTAGTCAGTTTACTATAGGGAAAATGGCAGAGGTCTAGGGTAGGAAACCAGAGTCCTGGCTCTGCCATGGACCCACTAATAACTTGGAACAAGTCCGTTTAGTTAACCCTTTCAGAAGGGACTAGATTTCTGTTGCAATTCTTTTCAGTGGTAATATCCCTAAATTCCATGATTCTATCTGAGTTTCATTGTAGGCAGGGAGGGATGCAATACCAGACATGTGGTTACAATTTAAAATATATTGGCTTAGTGGGGTAAAAAATTTAAACCACATTATAACTTGGGCATACAGAAGAATTGTAATTACTGAATGTAGTCTGCAGCTAATTTAGCCTTTCTGTATAACATCCATTAACTAATTGGAAGGGAGAAAAAAACAACTTAATATGCAATGTAAAGCTTATCTGACTCAATAATTTTAAACTATTAATACTTAACCAAGAAAAAACAACTTAATATGCAAGGTAAAGCTTCTCTGATTCAATAATTTTAAACTATTAATACTTAAGCAATGTTTAATACCACTTGAATGAAAACACTGAGCCTTTCACACAATTTCCTTTCCTCCATTTCCTTACTTTCTCTCTAGGACAGTGTCAGCATTTATGGGCATGGAGATGAGGAAGATGGGTGGGGTTAAAAAATCCTTGTCAAGGTGGGTAAGTGTTGGCATCTTCAAGTGTGTCATCCTTAGCCTCCTCTGATCCCCAGGTGATATGTCCAGCCCACCTGGGTACAGCATGTCTTGCTGACATTCAAGGCCTAAGTCTGTGGCTGGCATTATTGTTATTTCTTGCTTACC